GTCCCCCAAACCCCTTTAGGGACCCCCACTCACCTTCCCCCTGTGCCGCCAGTTTCTTGCTCTCGGGCTGATCTGGGGGTGCAGATTTGAGGATTGGGGACCCCTCCAGGACTCCCCCCACCCCAAATGTGGGGGTCCCCCCGGGTTTCGGGGTCCCCCCGGGTTTGGGGGTCCCGTCCCCCCTCACCTCCATCCTCCAGCTGCCGTTTCTGCCCCCCGAAACCCCCGAAATCGGGGGGGGGGGCGTTGTTGTTGGGCACCGGCGGCGCCGCGTCCCCCCCGATTTTGGCCGCGATCTGGGAGGGGGGACAGCGAAATTTGGGGGGGCTGAGAACCCCAAAAAGCCCCAAAAGTCACCCGAAATCCCTTCCCGAAAAGCCCAAATTTCCAGAGCCAGCCCGAGGCGCGCAGCAGGGAGCGAGACACCCCAAAATGCGCCCAAATAGCCCCAAAATGCACCCAAATCACCCCAAATCGACCCAAAATGAGCCCAAACCACCCCAAAATGTGCCAAAATCACCCCCAAGTGTGCCAAAATCGCCCCAAATCGACCCAAAATGTGCCACAATCACCCCCAAATATGCAAAAACCATCCCAAAATGTGCCAAAATCACCCCCAAATGTGCCAAAATCACCCCAAATCGACCCAAAATGTGCCACAATCACCCCCAAATATGCAAAAACCATCCCAAAATGTGCCAAAATCACCCCTAAATGTGCCAAAATCACCCCTAAATGGCGCAAAACACACTGAAATACGACCCCAAAACAGACCCTGAAAACCACCCCAAAATTGCCCCAGAAATGACCCCAAGATGACCCGAAACCCGCCCAAAAATGGCCCCAAAATGGTTCCAAAACCCATCTAAAAAACACTCTAAAACGGCCTACAAGCATCCCAAAAATAACCCGAAAATCACCCCAAAAATGACCCCAAAATCACTCCAAAAATCACCCCCCAGCAGCTGAAAATTCACCCACAAATGACCCCAAAATGGCCCCAAATCCCAACCAAAAATGACCCCAAAATAGCCCAAAATTCACCCCGAAAAAGTGCTCAAAATCACTGTAAAATAGCCCAAAATCTGCCCCAAATTCACCATGAAACCCACCCCAGACCGCCCCAAGACCCTTGAAAACCCTTTGGGGACCCCCAAAATCTCCCCAGGACCCCTCAGAACCCCCCAAACCCCTCAGGACGATCCAAAATCCCCCAAAACCCTTCAGGACCCCCCAAAACCCCTCAGGATCCCCCCAAACGCCTCAGAACCCCCCAAAACCCCTCTGGAACCCCTAAAACTCCCTCAGGACCCACCAGGACCCCCCAAATGCCTCAGGATCGCTCAAACCCCTCAGGATCCCCCCAAAATCACCTCAGAACTTCCCAAAATCCCCCCACGATCCCCCAAACCCTTCAGGACACCCCAAAACCCCTCAGAACCCCCCAAAATCACCTCAGGATCCCCCCAAAATCACCTCAGAACTTCCCAAAATCCCCTCAGGATCCCCTCAAACCCTTCAGGACACCCCAAAACCCCTCAGAACCCCCCAAAATCCCCTCAGGATCCCCCCAAAATCACCTCAGAACTTCCCAAAATCCCCCCACGATCCCCCAAACCCTTCAGGACACCCCAAAACCCCTCAGAACACCCCAAAATCACCT